TTTTTTTCTTTTTAATAAATAAATCAAAAAGATAAATGTCAAAAGAATAGGTGACACATGTCATCATCTCATAACTTGAGTTTAGAAAAACCTTAAAATATTTTATAAGATATACTAGGTTGCACATTGACTCGGAAACTATTATTTGTATTATAATGCTTAATATCATCACTCTCATTTTCATCAGCTCCATCGAACAAACACTACTTTTCAATTATTGTTCGTTAAAAGAAATTCTCAAATTTAAATTTCCAAGATTAATCAAATTGATCACTTTCAGCATTCCATATAATTGAGACCATTCCAAATATATCCACAAAATTTCCAAACTAATTATATATTAGGTTTCTAAATAAAAGGCAAGTCTTTGATGTAGTTTATTAGACAGAATCGAACGTTTACATCGTGTTTTTTTCAAATTGAAAACTCTTAGGGATGATTATATATATGGGAGATGGAGGAAACCTGAAGAAGAGAATTGGTGGAGTAACTGTTGTCTCCTTCACCACCACTCATACTTAGAGCATTCACAAAAGGGTACCTACTGCTTCTCTCATCATCCCCACTATACTTTTCATAATCACAAATATACATACATCTAAGACTATTCAACATACACAATATGCATGCAATCCATTAATTGTAAAAATGAATTGGAGAGATAGAAACCTCAATGAAGGATTAATGGTGTGGATGAGTCCTGAATCAGCTTCTCCCATTGTTAAATCGTTTCGAGAAGAGAGAGAGGTTATAGTTTTTAGAGAGAGGCTAGTTCCCTTTATTTATGGAGGTGAGAATTTGTAATATAAAAGTTATAGTTTTTAGAGAGAGGCTAGTTCCCTTTATTTATAGAGGCTAGTCCAGGTTTTGTAAATTGGACAATATAGTAGTTCGGTGAATACCACTGACGTGTTGCTTTGTCCTACCAGAATGACGTAGGAGATCTGAATGGGGCATAACGACGTGAAACATGCCGAGTAATTTTGTAAATCATTCTCATCAGTTATCAATCATTGAACAACTCTTTAAATAAAAAAATTAAAGACTTCCGGTTTCCGAAATTTTTTTCTATAATACATATTCGGCCTATAGTTTTGTTCCGTAAGAGATTTGCCCGTTTATTATAAAATGGTCTCCGG